AAAAAAAAAATTTAACCCCCCCCCCCCCCCCCAAAACAGAGTTTCAGGTTGCTAAGTAAACAATGGAAGCAACAAATAAGAACTAAAACACATGGTACAAAATATTTGCCCGCTCATACTTCAGTGTCATCTAAACGCTCTTGAAGGCTTAAAAGCCTCGTGATTTTGACATCAAATTTGGTCCAGATCATTAACTAATGAATTCTAAATGACCGACTTAACTGAAACAAATACAGTGTGCAGTAATACAGAGATTATATCACGACAGACCAAATAAGAATACCATTTCTCCTCCTCGGGCTCAAAACAGTATGAAATAAAACGACAGGTAATTGTCAGAAGATATTTACCGAGCTTACCGAGTAGCATTTCTGAGCGCACTAAATTCAGCGATGGAAAACCTCAGTCTCATAGGCTGATAGATCTTACTGAGCCACGAACAAGACAAAGCAAATTATGATAAGTGATAACAAAAAAAATAAAGATACTTTCTACAACTCATCCTCGTTCTAAATATACACATAAACAGAGTAAGATCTATAATGTGTTTACAGATCAAAGGCCATTCATTGTTGTGGATCATTTTTAGCAATATTTTCTGTCGCACTAGAGCACTTGTCTGTAACTGCTGCCAGAGCCAAATCATCAATACTAGAATGGGAACCAAGAACTGATGACGTGTCACATGGCACGTCATCCATCAGATTGTCAGCAAGAGAAACAGTCTCTATGTTAGAGTCTCTTACTGTGTTTCCTTCACCAAGTTGCTCTAGACCTACTCCATCCCTGGCAGTTTGACTAGGTTGAGGTTCTTCAGGTTTAGAAACTGCATCTTCATCTACGTTGGAATTTTTGTTCTCTGAAACATCATCTTGACTCTTGGACTTCATTGTCCGAGGTTCAGGATTCAAGAAAATGACTGCATCATCATAAGGATTTTTATTCACTTGTAAATCAACTGCAGAATCTAGAGCCAATTTACTTTCAGATGTCATATTTTCAGGTTCAGGATTCATGACAACAGTGTTGTCCTTCTTGAAGTTTTCGCTCACTTGAGCATCAACTAAATGTTCTAGCTCAACTTGATTTTCAGACTTTGCTGTTTGAGATTCAGAATTCGAGACAACAGCTTCATCCAAGCCAGAATTTGTACTCCCTTGTGCAGCAACTGCAGGATCTAGCACAAATTGACTCTTCGACGGAGATTCAGGATCCGAGACAACTGCTTCAGTGAAGCCAGAATTTGTACTCCCTTGCCCATCAACTGCAAAATCCAGCCCAAACTGACTTTTGGACTGAAGTTCAGGATCCGAGACAGCAGCTTCATCCAAGCCAGAATTCTTACTCCCTTGCGCATCAACTGCAGAATCCAGCACAACTTGACTTTGGGACTGAGGTGCAGGATCCGAGACAACAGCTTCATCCAAGCTAGCATCCTTACTCCCTTGAGCATCAACCATAGAATCTAGAACAAATTGACTCTTGGACTGAGATTCAGGATCCAAGACAACAGCTTCATCCAAGCTAGAATTCTTACTCCCTATAGCATCAACTGCAGAATCTAGAACAACTTGACTCTGGGACTGAGGTTCAGGACCCAAAACAACAGCTTCACCCAAACCAGTATTCTTATTCCCTTGTGCATCAACAGCAGAATCCAGCCCAAGTTGACTTTCGGACTGAGGTTCAGGACCCGAGATAACAGCTTCATCCAAGCCAGAATTCATAATCCCTTGTCCATCAACTGCAGAATGTAGCCCAAATTGACACGACTGAGATTCAGGATCTGAGACAACCGCTTCATCCAAGCCAGACTCCTTGCTCCCTTGAGCATCAACTGCAAAATCCCGCACAAATTGACCATCAGACTGAGGTTCAGGACCAGAGACAACAGCTTCATCCAAGCCAAAATTCCTACTCCCTTGTGCATCAACTGCAGGATCTAGCACAAATTTACTTTTCGACTGAGGTTCAGGATCTGAGACAACAGCTTCATCCAAGCCAGACTCCTTGCTCCCTTGTGCATCAAATGTAGAATCCAGCACTAATTGCCTTTTGGACCGAGGTGCAGGACCTGAAACAACAGCTTCATCTAAGCCTAAATTCTTACTCCCTGGTGCATCAACTGCAGAATCTAGCACAAATTGACTCTTTGACTGTGATTCCAAATCTGAGACAACAGCTTCATCCAAGCCAGACTCCCTACTCCTTAGTGCATCAACTGCAGAATCCGGTACAAATTGATTTTTGGACTCAGGTTCAGGATCTGAAGCAACAGCTTCATCAAAGACAAAATTCTTACTCCCTTGTGCATCAACTGCAGAATCCAGCAAAAATTGACTTTCGGACTGAGGTTCAGGATGTGCGACAACAGTGACATCTAATTTGGAATTTTCACAGGCTTTTACATCGACAGAAGAATCTAGCACAAATTGACTCTTGAACTTCACTATTTCAGGTTCAGGATTTGAGACAGCTCCGTCCATGTCTGGAATTTTACCATCCACATCATCAACAGAATTTAACAGAAATTCACTCTCTGAGTTCACCATTTGAGGTTCAACATTTAAAGCTTCCATCTTGGAACTTTCCATGATGCAAGATGGTGATTTCTCCTCAGAAGCTGGCCCCAAATCTTCCATGCTTTCAGACGAAACAGCAGCTGATTTCATTTCACTTCTACAAGCCTCAGTGCCTTCCAAGTTGACCTCATTTAGGTCAGAAACTTTCCCTTCTCCAACTTCAGGTTTTTCCTCGCATTGGGCAAGGGATTCCTTTGATAGAAAATCATCATCTGGAACTTCTGTATTCAAAGTTGATGACTCCAAGCATTGACTGTTACCAACCTCGGATAGTGAAAGAAGAGCATCACCTGGAATGAGGTCTCTTCTTTTTTCTTCTGCATCTTCCTTGACGGAGTTGTTGTCAATTTCTACCTCCTCAGACTTTGAAACAAGTGAGGCACCCATCTGATGACTTCCACTTTCTAATTGTTCCGAAGACAAATTCACCTTTTCCAAAGATAGTATTGGAAATGACTCTTTCTGTATGCTTTGACTCACAATAGACTCAGGCTCTGTATCAAAAACCTTGGTCGTATCTTCGCTTTCTTTCTTTTCTGCACCTCCCTTTTCACACGAATGCTTAAATTTTTTCTGTTCAGATTCCAAAGACTGAACCTCAACTTCAATAGATGATTGAGTTAAAACACAGCCCTCGGCCAGAATCCTGTCTTTTTCATCTTCAACAACTATTTCCCAAGATTCATTATCAGTTCTGTCCTTCGAAATCTTATAAATTGAATTGGTTTTTCCCTTGGGCATATCATCAGAGGCTATGGATTCATCCAGATTCAGGCTAGTGGCATTTTCAACCATTTTGTCTTTTTCATTTCCACATGGATGTTCACACTCTTCACTGTCGCCAGCAAGAGTCATTGACCCAGAAGTTGGTGCAGCATCCACGGTTCCAGTATTTGAACTTTGATCTTTGGTCATCTCAACAGAGATGCTGCTGACTTCTGCTCCAATAGACAAATTATCTAAGGCTATTGATTTATCCGGTTCAGGATTCTTGGCAGACTCAATAATTTCATCAGGTACGTTTCCCTGTCGAGATTCAGATTTTTCATAATCACTATCCTGAACCGTTGACCCAAAGGTGGACGCACCCTTGGTGGTTTCAATATTTAAAGTTTGGTCTTTGGTCACCTCAACAGAAGTGCTGCCGACTATTGGTAAACATGGGGCACCTACAGAAATTTCAGGATTATTAAAAATTTCAGGCACCCCGGGATTTGAAGCAATGGAGCTATCCCCTAATGGATCTCTATTATCTTGTTGTACAACACATTCTCTCAAACACAGATTACTGGACTCTGACAATGGGAGGCTCAATGCTGAAACTGGTAATTCCTGGGTTGATGAAGATGACGGCAAATTTTCACACGCCTGAGATTTTGATGCAAGGACTTCACCTGCATTTTGTTCTGGTCCTTCCTGGTAAGGATCCTTAGACTTGTCTAGAGCAACGTCTGCATCTATAGTAGAAACTGCAGTCATAAATTTGGTCTTATCATTATGAATTAGTGCACTGGCCAGGACTCACAATTTAGAGACGTGATTAACATCACAACTTCATAAGCTTTTCACTAGATTGCATGTGAATACACATTACTGTAAAAATTAAAATTGGGGGCTTGCCCTTTTCTCAAGTCACTAATGCAGATTCTCTAAAATAATATCTGGAAGCATATCTTTCACAAACAAAAGAAGAAAATATGAGAACTTACAAATAGCAAAGTCAACAGAAATGTGAATTTCATCCAATAAAGCCTGTCTCATACTGATAGAATGTGAATATGCGAAAAAATAAAAAAATAAAATAAAAAATACTACACGACCTAGAAATAGATTACGTAATGAGAAAATATTCATATGAGCTAAATTATTTTTTTACTTGCCCCATTAATAAGTCATAATAAAATTTAATTGAAGGCATTCTCCATTGTATCCCTTGAATATGAACTCCATGCTGTGAATTAATTTCACATCACATTTTCTTCTATTTGTACTAGATTATTATCTTCAAAATTTATAATTAGAAAAACTTTAGATTCGCATTATCTAGTACACTCATCATCTGCTGGGGTAAAGTAATTATTTTCCATTTTACAATAATTTTCAATAAGACTAAGTGAAAAAGCTGAGTGAGAATTCATGCAGTTTGACAATTATGTTAAGCTTCAAGAACTCAAAGGACACTATTACGTTCATTAAAAGAAAAATTAATATCTAATCTTCTGATGTTTATGGTAATCTTTAAATGTAGAAAGAGAAATATTTTAACAATGGATATCAATTATGCCACTGCATAAATGTTAGCATAAATATTTTTTGATATTTTAGGAGTATCAATAGTTTTCAAAATGATCAATAATTATTAATAGAACTAAACAGGTTTTTGCTTCAGAATGACAGTTTGAAATGATGCCACAGTATGGGTAGGAAAATTCCACCACCACCTATAAATATTGTTATGCATTCCACCAACTGTTTGGCATTCAACTTGGGACATAAATCACTTTGGCATAGAAGCACATTAGCATGTAAAAATTTTGATCAATCTACTTCAACAGGAAGCTTACTGTGAGGGATTTGTCCCGTATAAATGCTGTCAAAGCCAGGAGGAACAGATTGGCTTGCATTTGCCAGTTCCTGAGACTCATTCCCCAGCTTAATCGCGTTGGCCTTCCTACGAGTTTTTGTCTCTAGAAGTGCAGTTGAATTTGAATCTTGATTCGCAACAGCTATGAGAGGCTCCCGCCTCCTACGTTTCCGTTGGGATGTCTCTTCTCCAATTTGAGCTTTGCGCGCTCTTCCTCTTCCATGCTTTGTTACAGATAGGGAAGGAGTAATAGAGGGTGCACCAAGATTGGCAGAAGCCAGAATAGGGGTTCCTTGTGATGTAAGAGCAGACACAATGCCAGTTTCTTGTTGACCAATACTTGCCACAACAGATGTACCAGGAGCAGAATTTTGATCAGGGACTTTCAGAGGGCTGGAAATGGGAACTCGTGACCCCACACCCAATTTACCTGAGTCAGAAGGTGAAGGAAGAGCAATAACAGATGGAACTGAACTCAGTCCTTTAAGTACTTCCTTTGTAACGGGACCAAGAGATACTGGGCCAGTACCCGGAGGGACTGTAGAACTAGAAATGGTTGTTCCCTGTATTCCCATGTCAGGTTTTCCAGTCCCAGATGGTGAGGCAGTTACTGAAACAGCTTGTAATACTGTGGTCTGTCTTTTTCCTCTGCGCCTGGGAGGTTCTACTCCTGTTTGAGGCTTTCGACCTCGTCCTCTACCTCGCCCAGATGGAGTGGGGGAAGCAGCAGACTGAGGAGCAGGAGTAAGAGAAGGAGAAACAGTTGGCTGAGAGTTGGGAACAACTCCTAACTGTTGCATCGTTCCAGTGATACTTCTTACAGGGGTAAAACTAGGTAAAGAATCAGGTGCTGGTACCATAGGAGCTGTTTCCACCTTGGAGCTCTCATCCACTTTTCCAGCTCCTAGAGATGCAATAACAGGAATAGGTGAAGTAGTTTCTCCTGTCATTCTTTTTGGCCTTCCACGGCCGCGTTTGGATGATGGTATAGCCTCTTTGCTTTGGTGTGTGAGTGACTCAGCTGTTTTATGTTGAGAAAGCTGAGACCCTGCTGGCATTTGTGTTTCACCCTTGACCACAATGGCTTGAATTTGTGCTTCACCCTTGCCCACAACGGAGCCACTTGTCGTCATTGGTGGCATCTTTCCAGTCATTTCTTCCGCCATCATTGGAAATTCCAGAGATTCAGTTTTGCAAATCCTCTCAGATTTATCTCCAGTCCATTGCTCTTCACAAGCTCGCACCCCTAGAGACGAAGGCAGAGGAATTGGTACAGATGTTTCCGTCGTTCTTTTCGGCCTTCCTCGGCCACGTTTAGATGGCAACGTAGTATTTCTGATTTGTTGTCCCAGTGGCTCGGTAAGCTGAGGTAATGCTGGAACTTTTGTTTCACCCATCATCATGACAGAGTCACTTGTACCCATTGGCAGTATCTTTCCAGTCATTACTTCCTTCGTTATAGGAGATTCTGGAGACTCAGATTGACACATTCTCTCAAATTCCTCTTCGGTCCATTGCTCTTCATACGAGCGGACCTAAAAATTAAACCACCAAAAAAGTTAGAACTGCAAACGAAGTTCTATTTCTATTGGAATGATACGGCATCATTCAGCAATGCAAGTTATTGGATACATATTGGCGAACATAAAAAATAAAAAAAATAGAAAATGCATTCAAGATCATGTCGAGAAATATAAGCAAACCTCTCTTGCTCGTTTGCCCCTTCCATAGTGTTGGGTATCAAGGCCTCCGTGAGACCCACTTTTACGCTTCACTGCAGCATTAGATCCGACACCTGAATTTGGTACTTCATATATCCTCATGGCTTTGTAAAATTGTTTTAAGTCATCATCCACTAGAAGCCGAGAAGGAAAAGGAGGTACAGACTCAGAGTTCTCTACCAATTTCCCGCCAAATAAATTTTGCCATGCTACCTACAAATTTTTACAGCTGTTTTGAGTAGAAAGAACTGAGTAATATTATTAAAAATAGTATCAAACCTACAAATAAGGATAAACACAATGAATGTGAAGATTTCGGGGATCACCATTTCTTCTTCTCGCCTCTGTTTGTCAACCAACTCAAAGATATCAATTTCAGATCCACTACATCACAATATCATCAGGAAAAAATTATTTAACATACATGGTTATGTATAGAAATCATATTGTTAGGCCAATATTAACACAGAAAAATGCTCAGGGGCTACCAAGCAACAGCCAAACAGAGGAAGATGGGTTGCCTAATGCTAAGCGGTAATAACTATGCAACTAATTACAAATATGTAGAAAATTTTGCATATTTATAACACGAAAATGAGATTAAAGGAGGGAACAAAGAAAAGAAAATTTGAGATGCAGAATACCTCAATGCTTCCATAAGGTACCTAACACAGCACGTGCATGTTCAATAAAATGTACAGAACGATGGTTTTAAACAGGGAAGATAGAAAAACTTCATTAATCAATCTAATAAGGATAGAAAGATAACAGTTTTTGACGGAGGACATAAAACTACATTACACTGATTAAATCTTGAATGACAACCACCCATCTGATTATAAGGTAACAGATAAATATAAAATTGGCACAACCAAAATGGTTGTTACAATTCAAGAATTTTGGTCTTACAAATACCTATTGCACCAACTTCAGTTATTTTAACTAAGGTGTTGACTTTAGGAAAGGTTGTCAATTAACCAATGCAAAGAGTTGAGCAGATTAAAATATCTACCTGCGTGCAATAAGATCATTTAGTGCATCATCATCCAAAACAGGTGTAGCTTCCTCTTTCTTGCACTCCCGCAGGAGAGCCTCCAGGTATTCTCTACGGTCTTCTGCACTGAGATATAATATACAGATTTTATTCAGAATACATCAAATGTACCTCAAAACTGCTCATACTTTTCACTGTTCTTTAGTTTTAACAAATACCCGAGTTACCTAGTGTTATTGTCAAAAAAACCAGCAGTTATACTCTGATTGGCAACCCCAAGCTTGTGCTCAGCAGCAGCTCTAACTTGCTCCTCCACTGTTTGGACCTTGTTCAAGAGTAATCCGATATCAGAACAGATGTTGGATTATTCAGAAAAGGTAAGTTCTAAAACCAGATACATGCACAAAAGTAATTGAAAATCCTATACAAGATAAGGGGTTTGAACCATTATAAACTTATATAATACTACACTAAACTATAATTAGAAGTTGAACCAATAAATGGGGTTTGAACCATTATAGACTTGTATATTACCATACTAAATATAAAAATAAAGCTGGATGAATACATCTTGAAAGTTGTCGTGTCGAGCTATATTAAGGGAACAACCATCCACTTGTTCAACACAGTTATAATTCTCATCTACCTTCAGAAATCATTTTTATCATTAGGATTTCAAATATGAGGCTCTGAACATCTATAACTGGTGATACTATTCTTTGGAAACTCTTCTAGTTCGATTCTAAAATTAAGTTTTGCTCAATCAATAGTTTTTAGAAATAAGTAAAGAGGCATGAAAGATTTAACTTGCTAAACAAGTAGAACTTCTTAATTTGACAGCTTGTTTATCATAGTACTCCCTGGCAAGAGAACAGCAACGCTAAATAATAATTAACCATAATCCGTCATGGACAAGTATTAATCCTCTATTAAGGTGCCGAAAATTGGAACCCATAAAGATGTCAAAACTTGAGTGAGGTTGAGCTGGGTGCTATTATCAGCACAAGCAAAACAGCAAATATCCCTCAAGGAAATTATAATCATAAAAAAGAAAGTGGTGTTGAACCATGCATTAATATTGAAACAGTAAGCAAACAAAGTTCTTCAGGTCAGAACTCCATATTGGATAAGGTATCATATCAGAAACATCATAATTTTAACATTTCGTGGACAGGAAGAAATTAAACAAAAAATACTGCAACTCCAGGGTCGAGGTACCCACTGTTTCTAATCTGAGAACAAGAACATCCTTCTTTTGTCCAATCCTATGAGCCCTTGCTTGTGCTTGCAGATCAACCTGAGAAACGTGAAAGATTTCAGCAAATGTTGAGTTCTCATATCAATGGTTTTACATTTTGATAAAGGAGCAGCATTGAAATGTTGCCTGTGGATTCCAGTCTGTGTCAAATATAATAACTGTATCAGCAGCTTGAAGATTTACACCAACACCTCCAGCTCGAATACTGGAATCAAATTGTAATGAGTCAGTGCAACAAGACACGCATACTAACTTGAAGATTAACTACAACTGAATGCACAAGTCCAATGAAACATCTTTCAAGTGGAAAGGATCTACATTATGGCCAGGGGAGCCATGGTCTCCATTGACCCAATAACAACTCCACTTTCTGCTTTAGTTATGTTTTTAAGTAGTTTGACCCCCTCAATATCTATCTAGCTTTCATCAATTCTAACATGCTAATGTAACAATACTAAGGATAACCATGGTAATGTATTTTGTGTTGAAGACCACTTGCGATCCCTAGGCTAACTTTGCTGCTCCTGACATGAAATGCAAATATTATTCTACTGATTCGATCTTCAAGCACCGGGCATCTTTCTTGTAATGCATTTTTGTGTTGATTTGAGTGTATTATTCAGATTTTGGCCGTACTGTACTGGATACAAAACAGGTCTCAATGTTCTCGAGCATTATTATTGAATAAATAAGACAGAACGTCCCTCATTCTAGTCAAAATATTAGATGTTTGAATTCCCTTTTTCAGAAAATCAAACAACACGACCCCATCACCAGATAGTTTTTCAATCCAACCCACACACGTTTCAGAATTTCCTAGAGCCAGTAGCAACAATCAAAGTAGATTTAAAAAATCGCCTACTACATAAGATTGCTCAAGCCAACATTGCATATGGATTCTAGAAGTCCCAACTATTGCACCTCTTACTGATGCAAACCGTCTAGTCAATTATAGATCTAAAAGAAATCCAATTCTACTGGTACAGATAAGCTGAATTATTACCTGAGCAAAAATATAAAATACGGAGAACCTGGTTGATTGAACTTCTCAATAAGAGCTCCTCGATCACCCCCAGATGTCTGTCCATCTAAGCGAAGGTATTTATATTGTTTCCAGCAAAGATAGTCCTCCATGACATCAAGGAGTCTAGTCATTGTTGAAAAGAGAAGAACCTGCAGAACATAAAAATTCAGATTTTCGAACGTGTGGAATCAGACCTTCAAGTACCCTGGAAGCTTAATAAAGAATCACATATCAGAGAAGGTGAAAGAAAAATATTTCATGGGAAAAAATGGGGTATTCTGAGTAAGCCCCTCCCTCTTGTCTCTCTAAACAGAAGTTACAGAACAAAGGGGACTTTAACCTTTGTGGTCAGGCACAAGGGTTCCAAAGCAACCGTTAGATAATTTTGGGATAAGGTTTAAGCTCTGTAGCACCGACACGCTGCCAGCGACAGCTTATCGGACACCGATTTGCCTCCGACACGTCGCCGACGCGTGTCGGAGTTGATGGTAGCGTGTCGGAGGATTGCTGGGCGGCTGAGTTGAAGGGAAGAAATGCAACCGGAGCTGGAGGAAGAAATGCAACCAGAGGAAGCGTGGCCGTCTGGGAAGGAAGAAAAAAAAAAGAGGAAAGAAAAAAGAGAGAAAAGAGAAGAAGAGACCTGGCCTAAAAATGGAAACTGTTGAACTGACTTGTCTGAGAAATGGAAAGAAATCAGAGAAGAAAAAGAGAAGAAAAAGGGACAGCTGGAAATGATAAAACTCTCCCTTTACCAATGAATATTTTAATTTGTAGGGCCCACAATTGTAAAATCTTGTACTTTTTGTATCTTTCGATGCTGTAACTTTTGATCAAATACTATATAATATTTTGTTTGAATGACATTGTACCATTTTACCCCTTTACCAAAGAATATTGTGAATAAGGAGTATGCCAAATTCTCAACTATGGAAGAATAAAATGTTGTGGACAATAAAATTAAAATAAACTAAAAAAAAATTAATTTTATAATCAACATGTCGGCGATGTATCGTGTCGGAATTTTTTTAAAAATCGCGTGTCAGCCTGTCCGACACGTCCGTGTCCGTGTCGGTGCTTCTTAGGGTTTAAGTAACCTATAGCCTATCAAAATTACTGAATGTTTTCACAAACCCATGAATAGACACCCCCCAACCCCATCGCTCAAAGGAAAAAATACACTGCACACCAGCAAAAACTTGCAAAAAAATAAAAGGGATAAATCAATAAGCAGATAGATCGCCAAATGGAAAACAGGAAATGGAGAAAAGAAAGAACAAATTAGCCAAATCACTTCGAGAAAAAAGACAAGCACATAAAGTGAAGGAAACAGTTATTTTCTTCAAACAAATCAATGCACATTGTGATACATAACAAAGAATAAATACAATGATTCTAACCTATAAAAGGGAGTATCTACTAGAAAAGCGATATGAAACTGGTAATCAAATCAAAGATGTAGGTGCAGTGAAAGAATGGTAATTTTCGACATATCATACAACATATTACTAGAGCATTAAACAGAACTCCAGAATCACAAAAGATAAATACAAGAAAACTCTGATAAAGAATGAGAAAATAAAAAAAAAAAAACTCATACACTATAACACTAAACACGAACCATAAAATTGAATTTTCATACCCGATGATCAGTTGCCTTTAGTTTGGGCAGCAATCGATCTAACATCTCAAGCTTCCCACAGAGCCTCACAATATTAGGCAGATAATGCTTCGGAATAAAATCATGAACCTAATTAAAGAAACGAAAGTAAATCTCAGTTAAACAGTTGTAGAGTCCTAAGCATTTGGAGATTATGGGATGATTCTGCCTTTATGTATTAAATGCCAGTATTCTGCCTTTTAATTACTTGGGATGATTCTGCACACAATAAGCCACCTAACAATACAAACGAAGTAAAATACTAAGCCAAAACAATAAGCCAAAATAGTAGGTAAGCTCTTGCATCATTAACTTAGTTAAAGGTTGATATCATTACAAATAAAGGTATATAAAACCTTGCATAAATACATACATCAACTTAAATCTAGAAGAAAGTTTTCAAACAAAGCAAAATATTAAGCAGAAATAATCCATGGAGATTCTCTTTTAGTTTCCTTCATCCTCGGCAACTCCTTTACCCTTGCGGAACGTAACGTTCACTTGCCTTCACTTGATTTACCTCTCGACTTGTCTTTATCTTTCCAAGAAGTGCACTGTTTCTTTGTTGGGCAATCATACAAGAAGTGCCCCGGCTTCCTACAACTGTGACAATGTAATGTAATCAGCAAACTAATAAAAACGGCCAAAAATTCAATATAATCAGCCTCTTCAATATAAAAAATTCAAAAATTTCGAAGAGTGGAAGGTGCACAACGTAATCAGCCTCTTCAAGCAACATTAACAATAACCATTGTACCATACTTATGCATCCACTTCCAAAAAAATTCAATAACAGTAAATTGAGGGAAAGACAACACCAACACTGGAACTTCATCATATTAAGGTACCGAAAATTGGAACCCATAAAGATGTCAAAACTTGAGTGAGGATTGAGCTGGGTGCTATTATCAGCACAAGCAAAACAGCAAATATCCCTCAAGGAAATTATAATCATAAAAAAGAAAGTGGTGTTGAACCATGCATTAATATTGAAGCAGTAAGCAAACAAAGTTCTTCAGGTCAGAACTCCATATTGGATAAGGTATCATATCAGAAACATCATAATTTTAACATTTCGTGGACAGGAAGAAATTAAAAAAAAAATACTGCAACTCCAGGGTCGAGGTACCCACTGTTTCTAATCTGAGAACAAGAACATCCTTCTTTTGTCCAATCCTATGAGCCCTTGCTTGTGCTTGCAGATCAACCTGAGAAACGTGAAAGATTTCAGCAAATGTTGAGTTCTCATATCAATGGTTTTACATTTTGATAAAGGAGCAGCATTGAAATGTTGCCTGTGGATTCCAGTCTGTGTCAAATATAATAACTGTATCAGCAGCTTGAAGATTTACACCAACACCTCCAGCTCGAATACTGGAATCAAATTGTAATGAGTCAGTGCAACAAGACACGCATACTAACTTGAAGATTAACTACAACTGAATGCACAAGTCCAATGAAACATCTTTCAAGTGGAAAGGATCTACATTATGGCCAGGGGAGCCATGGTCTCCATTGACCCAATAACAACTCCACTTTCTGCTTTAGTTATGTTTTTAAGTAGTTTGACCCCCTCAATATCTATCTAGCTTTCATCAATTCTAACATGCTAATGTAACAATACTAAGGATAACCATGGTAATGTATTTTGTGTTGAAGACCACTTGCGATCCCTAGGCTAACTTTGCTGCTCCTGACATGAAATGCAAATATTATTCTACTGATTCGATCTTCAAGCACCGGGCATCTTTCTTGTAATGCATTTTTGTGTTGATTTGAGTGTATTATTCAGATTTTGGCCGTACTGTACTGGATACAAAACAGGTCTCAATGTTCTCGAGCATTATTATTGAATAAATAAGACAGAACGTCCCTCATTCTAGTCAAAATATTAGATGTTTGAATTCCCTTTTTCAGAAAATCAAACAACACGACCCCATCACCAGATAGTTTTTCAATCCAACCCACACACGTTTCAGAATTTCCTAGAGCCAGTAGCAACAATCAAAGTAGATTTAAAAAATCGCCTACTACATAAGATTGCTCAAGCCAACATTGCATATGGATTCTAGAAGTCCCAACTATTGCACCTCTTACTGATGCAAACCGTCTAGTCAATTATAGATCTAAAAGAAATCCAATTCTACTGGTACAGATAAGCTGAATTATTACCTGAGCAAAAATATAAAATACGGAGAACCTGGTTGATTGAACTTCTCAATAAGAGCTCCTCGATCACCCCCAGATGTCTGTCCATCTAAGCGAAGGTATTTATATTGTTTCCAGCAAAGATAGTCCTCCATGACATCAAGGAGTCTAGTCATTGTTGAAAAGAGAAGAACCTGCAGAACATAAAAATTCAGATTTTCGAACGTGTGGAATCAGACCTTCAAGTACCCTGGAAGCTTAATAAAGAATCACATATCAGAGAAGGTGAAAGAAAAATATTTCATGGGAAAAAATGGGGTATTCTGAGTAAGCCCCTCCCTCTTGTCTCTCTAAACAGAAGTTACAGAACAAAGGGGACTTTAACCTTTGTGGTCAGGCACAAGGGTTCCAAAGCAACCGTTAGATAATTTTGGGATAAGGTTTAAGCTCTGTAGCACCGACACGCTGCCGGCGACAGCTTATCGGACACCGATTTGCCTCCGACACGTCGCCGACGCGTGTCGGAGTTGATGGCAGCGTGTCGGAGGATTGCTGGGCAGCTGAGTTGAAGGGAAGAAATGCAACCGGAGCTGGAGGAAGAAATGCAACCAGAGGAAGCATGGCCGTCTGGGAAGGAAGAAAAAAAAAAGAGGAAAGAAAAAAGAGAGAAAAGAGAAGAAGAGACCTGGCCTAAAAATGGAAACTGTTGAACTGACTTGTCTGAGAAATGGAAAGAAATCAGAGAAGAAAAAGAGAAGAAAAAGGGACAGCTGGAAATGATAAAACTCTCCCTTTACCAATGAATATTTTAATTTGTAGGGCCCACAATTGTAAAATCTTGTACTTTTTGTATCTTTCGATGCTGTAACTTTTGATCAAATACTATATAATATTTTGTTTGAATGACATTGTACCATTTTACCCCTTTACCAAAGAATATTGTGAATAAGGAGTATGCCAAATTCTCAACTATGGAAGAATAAAATGTTTTGGACAATAAAATTAAAATAAACTAAAAAAAAATTAATTTTATAATCAACATGTCGGCGATGTATCGTGTCGGAATTTTTTTAAAAATCGCGTGTCAGCCTGTCCGACACGTCCGTGTCCGTGTCGGTGCTTCTTAGGGTTTAAGTAACCTATAGCCTATCAAAATTACTGAATGTTTTCACAAACCCATGAATAGACACCCCCCAACCCCATCGCTCAAAGGAAAAAATACACTGCACACCAGCAAAAACTTGCAAAAAAATAAAAGGGATAAATCAATAAGCAGATAGATCGCCAAATGGAAAACAGGAAATGGAGAAAAGAAAGAACAAATTAGCCAAATCACTTCGAGAAAAAAGACAAGCACATAAAGTGAAGGAAACAGTTATTTTCTTCAAACAAATCAATGCACATTGTGATACATAACAAAGAATAAATACAATGATTCTAACCTATAAAAGGGAGTATCTACTAGAAAAGCGATATGAAACTGGTAATCAAATCAAAGATGTAGGTGCAGTGAAAGAATGGTAATTTTCGACATATCATACAACATATTACTAGAGCATTAAACAGAACTCCAGAATCACAAAAGATAAATACAAGAAAACTCTGATAAAGAATGAGAAAAAAAAAAAAAAAAAACTCATACACTATAACACTAAACACGAACCATAAAATTGAATTTTCATACCCGATGATCAGTTGCCTTTAGTTTGGGCAGCAATCGATCTAACATCTCAAGCTTCCCACAGAGCCTCACAATATTAGGCAGATAATGCTTCGGAATAAAATCATGAACCTAATTAAAGAAACGAAAGTAAATCTCAGTTAAACAGTTGTAGAGTCCTAAGCATTTGTAAGTCTGCACTATGCTTAAAGTCCAGCACAGTGCAGAACCAGGAGATAATTACTTTTGATTGCTTGAATTTATTAAGATAACTTATCTTGTTACCATTTAACATTCACAGAAAGCAATGTAGTCTAATTGAAGATAGAAATAAATACCTCCTCCACATGAAGTTGGCAGAGATATGGATGATTACAAATATTACGCAGTTCCATCACAGAGTTATGCACTGACCGAGCCTGATGAAATTGCGAGTTTAAGGTCAGAAACAACTGAGGCAACTTTTCAGTGCACATATTCTTCACTATAATAGAAGTCTATCAGATGCAAAATATATGGCTTGATGTATTAACGTGAATAAATAATTACAGGATAAATATGTGGATGTGCATGACACAAGGGCTGAATCCAGTGGTAATATATAAATAAAAAGGATATGTGTGTGTGTGTGTGTGTGTGTTCTGCACACGTACACTGAGCACAAAGATATCAGAAATGTTTTAGGAATTTCATAAAATGAAACTGAAACCTTAGAAGTTCCAATTGCACCAAGATTCTCTTCTACCCTCTTCATCAACAGCTTCTGATATCCAGAAGCTTCACATCTGATAAGCCTTTCAATCTTTTCTGGTAATTCATGCTCGACCTAAAAAATTAAGACAAGCAACCATTTCTGATATCAAAATGCCATCAGATATTACGTTATGATTTCTTCGGTAAAGCATAAAAGTTTGTGATCACAACTACGATATTTTATGAATGCATGACAGCCATAAATAGAGAGGTCGAAACAATTATCTCTTAATTTTTTTTACTCATAAGAGGGGCAAAAAGCAGAGTAAAAGTAAGTCTTAGAACAGATTTTTTTCCTCAAAAGGTATCAAGTAATGGTAGCGAGGTTCTGAAACAAACAAATTAACCAAAGTATTATCAATTGACACCAACTACATTTGTTACAGTAATCACGTTCCTCGGAAAAACCTTCACCATAGCAGATAAGGGGGCCTTTTCCTTCAGTTTTTCTGATGATATATCAAACAAGTCTTTCCGTTATTCAGACCAATTTTCTCCTAGT